ATGCCCAGGGCCTAACCAACTCAGAGGCCCTGGGCTTTCAGCATTTGCTGAAATCCGAGACTCGGTGCACTCCAACCAACTGGCGTGCTGCAACTGTATGAACCYCACTTCGTGAAACGTTGCACAGAGGGCTCTTGTCGATTTGCTGGCCCRCCTTCACTTAGGGCGGGCACTAGGCTTGCTGGGGCCTTAGCCCAGAACATGTACWTCATGGCAAGGCCCCTACTTGAGGGCTCAATCCTCACACTCAGCTTCCATCTTGGGAAATGGTGTTCTAAGCATTACCAGAGTGGCCCACGGCCACTTGCCCAACCGACCCAAAAATGAATTCAAAAATAATGGCAAAGAATTTTGATGCGACCCAGAGGTAAGAGAATTAGGATTTTTTTTTAAATTTTACAAAGACCATCCCTGGCCCTCGCCCTACCGGGCCGCCCAGGCGACCAAGGTGACCCGGGCAGCCCGGTTGGTAACACAGGTTCAAAGTTCTTTTTTTTTTTCTTTTTCTTGTGGTGATGTTCTTTGTTTAGCACAGGAAAGATTAGAAACTTGAATAGCATTACAAACCACTCAGCCACAACACATTCATTCATACCACCTTTTTTTTCTTTTTTATTTAATGTTAGTTGAGGCAAACAACTTCGCCAATCAGATCATCTGAAGACATTGGATTCAATCCAATTAACCACCCACATTAAACGTTTTCCTCAAATGAGCGTAAGAATCACTACCTGAAAGCAGCGGTAAATAATACTGCTATTGGGCTTCTTGGTGCCGCCAAGATCATGGTGAAGCGTGTTGAGAAGCCATGACATAAACTCCACTGGATCGGACTGCGTGCCAATGCGAAACCGTTTCCGGCTCGCCACCATGACGGCCTGCAGAAACTCGTGAGGGCTAACCTGGTTATCACCCATGAAAAACACACAAGCAGGCAGAGAGCACAATCATCCAGACTAAATCTTCAGCACCGATGCTTTTCATCTCAACTGCCATGCACGTGATTTTTTTTTTCCTTTCCTTTTTAAGAAAAAGGACATGGGGTGTTCTGTCTGCCCACCATGAATGCCGAGATAGCTTTCTTGCCTTTCCTTTCTTGGGAAACATGAAGCTCTCACACCCCACCATGACTGTCCGCAGAAGCTCATAAAGGCTCAGCGCACACACACACACACACACACACACACACACACACACACACACACACACACACACATCGCCATCATCCTTCGCTTTTAGGAAAAAACATAGAGCCCTGGCAATTCATACTGCAGAAATTCATCAGGGCTGAGCGAGCATTGCGCACACACACACACACCCATGCGAGAACACGCACAGACACACACACACACCCATGCGAGAACACGCACACACACACACACACACACACACACACACACACACACACACACACACACACACACACACAGAGGCAGAGGGGTGGGGTTGAGGGGTGAACAACATGGAATCCTCAGAGCAAGAATTTTCACAGAAATGCTCACACGTGAGATTGCTCCTATTCATTTATTACTATCACTACGGGAAAAAAGGATAGAGTAAGTCTGATGTACCACAGCACTGCAGTTAACAATTCACAGACAAAATTAAGTGAAAGGACACGCACGTGCACACGCATACACACTGATGCATGCCTATCAATACATAGGTGATGCGTCACTAATGTGAAGTGAAGGACTCAGGGCAAGCAGATGTGAATGACAGGAAGCAATGTGAATCCAAGAAAACAAGCGATATAACCAATAGCTCCACGGATGATGTAGGTAAGAAGAGATGAAGGACGCGGGGGAGCAGACAAGGAGAATATCTCCAAGCAGCCAAAAATAGCCTCCCCCGTCAATGTCCAACGATTGTCTCCCTGAAATCTCGAATCCAGATCCTGGATGCTAACACACGTGGAATACTCACCCTCTCAAATCTCTCTCTCTCTCTCTCTCTCTCTCTCTCTCTCTCTCTCTCTCTCTCTCTCTCTCTCTCTCTCACACACACACACACACACACACACACA